CCAGGGTTCTTGGGGTGATGTCCCATCGGAGCCGCACGTCCCCCCCGGCTGCCCTGCCCCAGGCACTGTCAGGTCCTGCCTTTTGGGTTTCTCCACCCGCGCTGCTTTTGCTGTTACACTAATTGCCCTTATCAATTATTCATGGCTGCAGTAATGAAGCAGGGGCTGTGCAGTGAGCCCGGGGCTCCCTCTGGCCCCACAGAGCCACCGTGGCTCAGGAGGGTGAGGAGCAGAGCTGCTCGGGGATGCTCCTCGGGAGCACTTTCAAAATGACTCCCCTGAAGATTTTCTCAACTTTTGCTAGTTCTGCTTTGCGTTTCTGACTTTGTTTTCTTCCCCTCAGCCCCGTGCCGTGTATTAGATGCTGTTCCCTGTAGCCATGACCTTCCCTGGTTCTCAGTGGTCACTTTTTAAATCCTGGGGTGCTCACCATCACCAGCTGGGGAGCGTTTCACAGTTAGAAGTTTCTGATCTGATGGATCTGGGCACGGTTTGTCCCATGCTAAGACCTGGAATTGTAATATTGTAATTGTAATATTTTCCTTCCTACTTTGGAAAGGTTGATGTTTCCCTGGGGGATGTAGGTGCTGTTTCCCTGCAATTCATCTGCTGTGGGGAGGGAGGGATGCTCCCTCCAGCACAGGGAACCCTCTGCCAGCAGCAAAGCTTCTGCATATCTCCCAAAATACCCCTGGAGAGGGAGTTGGTCCCATTCCCATGGAGTAAAATGCTTTTGGGGGCAGGTGAGGCACCTTTGAGCAAAGGTAGATTGAAGAGCATTGAAGAGGAGCTGGAGAGGTTCTTGCATGGGACACACAGAGGATGAGGCTGCCCACGAGATCAGCTCTTCCAGGATATCATGGGAGATCCATTCCCCCTCCACAGGGTGAGAGTGCAGTCAGAGCCCTGTGTCCTTTGCTATCCTGCTCACATCCATGTCCAACATCACCTGCAGGGGCTTCCCTGCTTTTCCCAATCCCTGGTTTTGGCTGGGGAGGTACCTGGGTGCAGAGCAGCTCTCTGAGTTGTGTTTCACCTCCTCATCCTCTGCATTATCACAAGAGAAAAAGAAAATCTGAACATTCCCATCAGGAGCCAGGAAAGGCTGAATTCAACATCCCCCTGTCCAGGCATTGCTTGAGCCACTGTGGCTCCATGACTGTGAAGAGCACAGGCTCTGAAATTGGAAGCTGAGAGCATCAAAAAAAAAAAAAAAAAAAATCCCTGACCTCCCCCAAGCTGGGGATTTAAGGGAATGCCACATGTCATGGTCCTTCTGGCAGTGTGAGAGCTGGCAGCACCAGGGGAGGGCAGGACAGGCTCCAGCTCACAGCTGGGCTATCTCCATGGCTGGTGTTTTCCCAGCTGGAAATCCCAGCTGTGGGCCACCAGGAAGGCCACAGTATTTAAAAAAACACTGGAGAAGTCGAGGCCATGCTGATAAACCCACATCTGGTGGTTGAAATTTGCTCTGCTGGAGAACTAAAACCTCCTAGTTGTGAGCAGCTCAAAAAACCCCTGCTCGAATTGCAGACCAAGGAGCAGAGGGTTTGCAGTACTTCTCACCTGGCTTGGTTTCAAGAAAACTCGAAAAAAACTTGAATTTTTGTGTCAGTGAGTGACCCTTGAAGGCAAAGGGAGCCCAGGAAGTGGGTTATAGGTGCAGGATTTCAGGATGCAGGAGCAGGCAGGGCAATGTTGGCTTTTCTTGGGAAGGGTCAAGGCTTGTTCAGTGGGGAGATCAGTATTAGGGACTTCTATTGCTGTTGCTCTGGTCTCAGACCTATCATCCTCCTTCCCTAAAATCACCCTAGATAGCCATTCTGGGGCCTGCAGGCAGCTCTTTCTTCTGCTTTCTCTTCCCCTTCTCGGGACATTCTGCCTTGGCCACTCAGAAAGTGAAACAGTGAAGTGTGAGACCCTCCAGGGAGGATGTAAAGCCCCTGGGCCTGCCCAGCTCCAGAGAGGGAAACCCAGAGGATGGCAATGGGAAGACCAACCTGTTGGGTGCAGGGAGACCCAGATCCCTGAGAACAGGGAAAGCTGCACCCTGAGGTGAGGGACACCCAGATGTTGAGAGCAGCGAGCCCAGGGCACTGAGAATGGAGAAACCCAGATGCTGGCTGCTGGCTCCTGAGCTGCTGCTGCTGCAGGGACAGCATGGGAAGTTTTGGATGGTGAGGTGGAAGGACAGCACCTCCCTGCTCAGACAGCACCAGCACAGCCTCCTCCAGCAGCCCCTCAGCCACAACGACGGTGAGAAGGTGCCAACCCCTTCCAGTGCTGGAAAAGCTGCTCTAAGGCTTTGGAAAGACCTTGGAGCCCCTTGCAGGGCCTAAAGGGGCTCCAGGAGACCTGGAGAGGGACTGGGGACAAGGGATGGAGGGACAGGACAAGATGGAATGGCTTCCCACTGCCAGAGGGCAGGGTTAGATGGGATATTGGGAAGGAATTGTTCCTTGTGAGGATGAGGAGACCCTGGCACAGGTTGCCCAGAGAAGCTGTGGCTGCCCCATCCCTGGAAGTGTCCAAGGCCAGGTTGGACAGGAAGGGGGTGGAACTGGATGACCTTAAATGTTCCTTCCAACCCAAACCAGTGTTCCTATGAAACCTGGTCACAGTCCTGTCCTCAGTGTCCCAAATCAGCTTTGGGCAGCAAGGTGGCCCTTGGCTTTGTGCTGATGAAGTCCCTGGTGCCTCCAGCCAGGCCCAGGTTGGTTGGCTGGCCGGGATGGCATCACTGGTGCTTCCTCCCCTGTCTCTGCCCCACATCAGGTGATGCTGAGCAGAGCTCAGCCACGGCCCTCCCTGTGCAGACAGGATTTCACAGCCCTGGTGATGCTCTCAGGGATGGAACCAGCCCTCTCTCGGTGGTGAGGCTCCTGCTCATCCCCTCCATGCCAGAGAAGAGCAGCAGAGTCTCTGATTGAATTAGTGCAGGGATTTAATTTAATCCCCAAATGTCTCTCATTTCAAAGGAGCTGTTCATTTCCTTCTAGGCCCTTATCTGATATGGGCACCCAGCAATACAAAGCAGAAGGACTGGACAGATAGGCAGCTGTTGGAGGGGGAGAGTTTTGTGGGGAGGGTCTTGGGGGCTGTGTGGGTTTTTCCTCTAATTCTTTCATGAAATAATGATGACAGTGATTGCAAGACAAATAAAACATAAACAGCATCGTTAAAGCACATGCTGGTGCAAATAGCATCCTTGCCTGGCAAGTCTGGAAACATTCCCTTTTCACAGGGAATTACTGTGGGGGCAGTGAACCAGCCCCAAGGTCAGTGCAGGATCTGCTCTGTGCCTCCCACCAAACCCAGCTTTTCATGGATGGGTGGATGTCCCATATGGGCCAAGAACATGATGGTCTCTGAGTTTTGGTCTTCAGACTCCATGGGGGAGTTCAGGTGATGCTGAATCTCTGCCTGGGGGGAGTCAGGCTGGAGGGGGACAGAGCAGGTGCTCTCTGTGCTGCAGGCGTCACGGGGACACTGTGGGTGTGACAAAAAGGGACAAGGCACAGGTGGAGGTGTGTGGACTCCTCTGTGTGCTGCCCACTGGCTGTGGCACTGAACTCCAGCACCTTTCTGGGAACCTGGCTGGCTCTCTGACCCCTGAGCCCAGGCAGGTGCCCGTGGGTGCTGCTGGGTGCCCGTGGTCTCTGTGCTGTCCCCTCTGTGCAGAGTGGGGCTCACACAGCTCTGAGGTGTTCCCTGGGGGTGGCACAGCCCGACAGCAGCCCAGCACCTGCACACAGCTGCCTGGGGACAGCCAGAGGTGGGTTATCATCCCCACACCCCCGTTATGTCCCAAGGGGTGGCTCTCAGGGCTCTGCTGTCACGAGGTGGGACCCCCAACAGGGACACAACCTCTGCCTCCTCTTCCCAGTGGGAGGTGAGGCTGGATGGGTTGATTCCTGGAGCTGCTGCTCTTTTTGAAGCTGAAGTCAATTTATAAAGAGGGGGTCGCTTTGCTAACTCCAGTTTTCTAGTTGCCATCAGGCTGGTGAAAAGGTTTGGATCTCAGCTGGGGATACAGGGACTTCTTTTCTGGATCAATTGTTACTTGGGTGTGTTCCTGTGGAACAGCCCCTGCCCCATCCCTACAGGATCTGTGTGGGTGAGAATTGCTTCCCAAAGGCAGGATTTCTCTCTCCTTTGGTCTTTTTTTCCTTGCTGAGCTGTTTTTGCCCCTTCAGCTTAGATGGAAAAGCCCCCCAGGACCCTGCTCTGGCAGGGGAGGGCTCATTGCAGGCTCCCATTGCTCAAAAAAAAAAAAAAAATCCTTGGAGGTTTTTCCCTTCAGCTACTCCGGGTTTTTCCCTTTGAAAGGACAGAGCTTGCTCAGGCCTTTCCCAGCAGCAGAGAAAAGCTGGAAAAACCATCCTGAAGTTTTGTCAGCTGGCAGGAGTGGCTGTGGTTTTGCAGGGGAGCTCCACAGCCATGGTTGGGCTGAGCTTGGACAATCCAGAGGTGGGCAGAGTCCAGCCCTTCCCTTCAGCATTTAATGACATGGTGCAGGAGGGGCTGGAGCTTCTGGACAGAGCTCCTGGATTTCTCTGCCAGCCTTGGGGAAGATCCCTGCAGGGCTGAGCCCCTCCAGCAGCTCCCAGGAGACGTGGAGCCGGCAGGGTGAGGATGATGTGGCTGGAGCTGAGCTTGGCTGCGCTGTTGGGCTGAGCCGCTGGCACACTGGGGTTCCTCCAAACCCACCAGTGCTGCTGGCTGCTGCAGGGGGGAGCTGGGTGGCCCCATCCCTCTCCTGCCAGGTGGGAGAATCCAGTGCTCCAGGGATCAGGAGCAGCTGAGGCCAGAGCAACCTGTCACCACCTGGGGACATGGGAGCATTGCCATCCCACCCCGCTGGAGCACCGCTGGGGTTGTACAAACTGGTGCCAGCCTCGCAGCTGGGATGTCAGGAGCAGAAAGGCTGCCCTGGCAGGTGGCCAGAGAGATTTGGGGTGCTGCTGCCTTCACCCTTTCCTGTCTTCTCCTCTGGGCAGATGCTGGAGACAGACACGGAGAAGCCGGGGCAGATGCACTCGGAGGACGGGAAGGCAACAGTGGGTGATGCTCCTCCGGCTGCTGAGGCACCGGCTCTGGCCAAGCCCTGGGATGTCCTGGGAGCCACCCAGGGTCCTCTCCTGGTGGAAAAGCAGCCAGTGGCCACTGCAAAGGGAGAGGAGCAGCCCAGCTCCCTGCCAGCCTTCGTCATCCCCGAGCTGCGCCTCGACAGCACCTTCAGCCAGGGCGTGGCCGGCGTGGCAGGCGGCACCACGGACGGGGAGGACGAGGAGGAGGAGGAGGAAGAAGATGAGGACGAGGAGGATGATGATGATGAGGAGGAGGACAGTGACGAGCAGTACCTGGAGAGGAGCGAGGTGAAGCGCAGCAGCATGATCGAGACGTCGGGCGGCCAGGCCGGGTACACGCTGAGCGTGCAGGGCTCCCTGCGGCGCCGCACCCACAGCGAGGGCAGCCTGCTGCAGGAGGCCAAGGGGCACTGCTTCACCTCGGACACCACCCTCAACTGCTCCGACAGCCAGGGCTCCACCGCCCGCTGGGCTCTGCCCTCCCCCAGGACCCTCAAGAAAGAGCTCGTCAAGAACGGCGGCTCCATCCACCAGCTCACGCTGCTGTTTTCGGGCCACAGGAAGGTATGTGAGGGGGTGCTGGCTCCATGTGGCTGGAGGGGGAACAATCCTGGGAGGGAGGTATTCTGGCATGTGGCCCATCGCTCCGTGGCCACCCTGAGGGGTCAGGAAGGGCCCTGCCACTCTCAGGGCTCTGGGAGGTGTCACCCAGAGCCAGTGTGCTGGGGCTGTGGGTGGCATCTCCCACTGGTGTGTCCAGGGTCCCCTGTCCTGGGAAGCCACTCCCACTGAGACTGGTGGAGGCAGAGGTGCACTTGGGTGCCTGTGCTTGCAAAGAGCTGCTCACAGCAGCAGTGAGGGCAGGGAGAAGCTGGGCTCCAGAGAGCCTCTGGTGAAAAGAGTGTTCCTCAGGGTGCAGGGTCTCTGCCCCACAAGCCCCTTGCACGACTTCGAGGAGCCCATCTCAGAAAATAGTTGTGGTCAGCAAAGATGTCTGGCCCCACCATGCAGGGGGAGCATCTGAGGCCGTGCTGAGGGAGCTCTGGACTGGTCTGGGGTGCTCCCTGTGCCCCCCAGAGCAGAGCTGGTGTGGGCTCAGCAGGGCAGAGCAGGGTGTGGGGCTGGTGCCCAGCTCAGGATCTCATCACCCAACTCAGGACCATGTCACGCCCAATGATGGGGTTAAACCCGTGGTGGGCTTAACCCTCTTCCTGCCAAGCTCTTGCTTCTTGAGAAGCCACCTCTGATGCTGTTTCCTGGAGCGCTTTTTGTGCTCAGAGTCCCTTTCCAGCCGGTGAGAGCCCTTCCCAGGCTGACAGATCACTCATATGGTGCTGCTGTGCCTGAAGGTAGCCCAAGCCATCTTGGAGGCTGATGCCAACAACTGTGGGCTGGGGGGTTCAAGCCCATCCCCTTCTCCCCCCCGATCAAGAAAGGCCACCTTTGTGTCAGGGACACCCTCACTGCCTGTCGCAGATGCAGAGGGAGGTGGTGGCAGTGTCAGTGCGTGCTGACCGTGTCCCGTTGGTGCTGCTGTGACAGTCCCTGCAAGGAGGGCTCACAGTGCCCCTGTGTGTGCAGCCCCGGGGCTGCAGCTCTGCCGCTGCTCCAGCACTCCCGGGGCCGGCTGGGCTGTGTGACACTGCCGGGGGACAATGGGAACGGACCCCACTCCTGCCCCGGGGGGCTCCAGCTGCACTTCCTGGGCTGATCTGGGTGGATAAACGGAGCTCCCTCAGGACTGAACTGCTCTGGTGCAGATGAGACTGGGATTTTTGGAGCGGGGAGCCCACGCTGGTGGTGAGGGCAGTGTGGTGGCTGCACCTCCTGCAGCTCCTGCTTCCAGCCCTGCAGCAACTCCGGCTGCCTGCAGCCTCAAGCCACTGCCCATGTGCCCTCCTGGGGCGCCCCTGCTTGTTCCCACTGCCTGATCCCATGGGCTGCCTGCTCCCATCACCTGCTCTGGCTGCTTGCAGAGGGTCCACAGTGGTCAGGGGAGCTGGGCATGGTCCTGGGCCACCACATGCATGGGATTTTGGGCCACTGCCACCCTCCTGCCTACACTTTGAAGCGACTTTTGTTGGGCTGTGCCTTTGAATATCTTGATGAAGATACGATGAACCTCCGAGGTTCGTGAAGCAGGACACTGGTGTAGGATTCCCGTATGGATCCCCGCTCAGCTGCCAAGCACCTTTGTGTCAGGGCCACCGCATCCATCGGGGCTCGTGGGAGCCTTTCCCGCCTGGGAGCGTTTTAGGGGGGCTCGTTTGGTGTCCCCTCGTACTGCCGCGGTGCCCGCTGTGCCTCCCCGCTCCGCTGCTCCCCGCGGCCGGGCTGGGAGGGGGTTGTTTTGGGAAGGCATTGTGGCCGGGAGCGCTGGGACTCCCCGGGCGAGCTCCGCCGCTGCCTTTTGTCCCCGAGGCTGTGCGGACAATGGCAGGAAGCGGCCCCGGCTGCGTGTGGCCCCGGCCGGCCCGGGCCGATGTGCCCGGGGAAGGTGCTCGGCGAGGCCCGCATTGTTCGGGGCCGATAAACTCCGGAAACCCGGGCGCAGAATGGAAGGAAGTGTCAGAAGCCCCGGGCCCGGCGCTGCGGGGCTCTGCAGAGGGTTCCCACGGCCCGGCCGCCGGGAGATGATCCTGGAAAGCGCCTGGCAGCCCCCGGGAGCGCGGGGATGAGCTGGGTGTGGCGGGGGGCTGGATGCAGGGCCGGCTCTGAGCATCTTCCGATCTCATTCTGTAATGGAACGACTGATAAAGCCCCCGAGCCGTGGTGATCCCAGGGGGTCACCCCCCAGCTCCAAGCTCTGTGCGGGGCACAGTGGTGCCCTGAGCTTGTGGCACATCCCAGGTCCCCTTGGTTTGCCCAGGCTGCCCTAGGGTGGTGGTCAGGGAATGGAGCCCTCTGGCTGCTCCTCGACCTCGAAAACTGCAATGATGTGAGTCAATTATGGCTGAACTGCTCTGATTTCTTCCTGCTTGGGGACTAGGGGAGCTCTTGATTGGTTTTGGATGCTCAGCCTGGTTCTGGGGGGAGCTCTGTGGGCTGCAGAGGGATCCCCGGGCCCACTCAAGATAGCAGGAATAGGAGCATCAGGAATGGGGGTGTGGGTGTCCCTCCCCACAGGAGGTACCACTGTCAGCATCTTGAACCTGGAGGGTACCTGGGCCACCAACCGTGGCATCTCCTGGGGTGCTCCAGGAACACCATGGACTGAAGATGGCACAGGAGGGGTGAGGGGAGGCAGGTTCCCATGCCAGAGTAGAGAGGAGCTGGTCCTGTTGCATTGCCATGGAAAGGAGCCCTGTGGATGCCACGGGTCTGGAACGTGTGGCTGCGGGGACCACGGGGGGTGCTGGCCCTGCTGGTTGCAGGTAGCGCTGGTGTGATGACACAGACACTGTTTCTCTGTTCCCCCCAGCTGAGTGGAGCCGACCCCGAGTGCAGCTGTGATGAAGGGGACGAGACCTCCCGCAAGAAACGGAGCAGGAGCCTGTAAGTGTCACACTGGGGTGGCATCAGGGTGCACCAGGGCTGTTTGTGGGGTCAGACACCTCTTCTGAGCCTTGCTAGTTCCCGCAGCCTTTAGGGTCCCCCTGTCTTGTTCCCTCAAACTTTTCTGGACAGAAAAGTGCTCACTTCAGACAGGGAGTGGTTTTCAGGGAGGATGGTTGATGGGGTGTTGGGGACATTGCACAGCCCATGTGGGAGCACCCCCCATTCACAGCGCTCTGACAGGGGAAGACACCGGCTCTTGCTGGTGGCCTGGGGGAAAACAGCATCCCGGGTTCAGGGAGAGGACATGCAAATGGTGAAATCTGAGCTGGGGGCCTCCTTCCCGCTGGCCCCATGCCGGGAGAAGGAATCGGGAGGTGGAGTGGGGGGGTTTCCCACTGTGGGTCAGGCTGCAAACCTTGCGGCACATCGCGGGCAGCGTGGTGGGAGCGGCGAGCACGGGGACCACTGAGGCCCGCTGGCAGCCCCTCCACCCCTCCTGGTAAGGCTTTGGGCTGCCAAAAAGTGGCTCTGGGCAAGGACGAGGCGGCCGTGGCCTTTGCTTCCCGTGAGCACAGCTGCAGCCGAGGGGGGGAGGCTGAGTGAGGATGTTTGGGAACGCGCCGCCTCTGGTTTTGGGCACCAGATCGAGGTGTCACGGCCACAGGGGTCCCCTCGGCTGGGTCCTGTGCCCTGGGACACGCGTTTGAGGGCAGGTGGAGGAGCTGCACGTGGTGTGAGTGGCTCAGGGGGTGCGAGGGGGCCGAGCACAGGGGCTGTGCACGGAGCTCGACGGCCCGACCGGCTGTGCCTCCCGCCAGCGAGCGGCACTGTTGTCCCGCGTGTCCCTCGCCGCAGCCGCTTATTTTTAGCCCTTTTTATTATTCCCCCCCTCCCCAGCACTGGAAATAAAACCGAATCCCTGCGGCAGGGCCGTCCCCCTGTCCGCGTGTCCCTGCAGCGCCGGGGGAACCGGGCTGGCGGGGGGAGGCTCAGCCCCCCCGGCTTAGCGGGGTCAGGGGCGGTTGCACGGAGGGTTTTCTCCTCACCTTGAGCCGGCAGTGGATGCTCTGGGGAGCCTCTTGCCATCGCACAGACGGCTATTGGCTGTGCCAGCCGCCCGAGGGGGTATTTATGGTGCCAGAGCCGGGGCTCGGCACTCCCCTCCCCTCCCGGCCCCGGCAGCGCTGCCGGCCCCATGTACCACGCCATGGTGGACTTTTCCGAAAAATACCTGGAAAGGTAGGAATGCAGCATCCCGCGAGGAAGGGTGATGTGCTGTGCGGGGCATGGTTAGACGCAGGGCAGGGTGATGCATGACCTTGTGGTCGTGTTCGGGTGCAGGGACAGGTCACTTTATGGAGGCAACTCCAGAGTGAAACCAGCAATTTTTTATGGAATTATTTTTGCTGGGCCATTTATCCTGCAGCCTGGCTGCAGCCGTGGGCTGTGTGTGCCCGTGGCTGTCGCAGCCTGGGTTGGTGCCACTTGCTCTTTATTTGCAAGAGGAGCAGCACGTGTAAGTCAGGGAACTTCCTTCGGAGGTGCTCGCTGGAAAATCCACCCACGAGCCACGATCACCTGCGAGCCCCAAAGCCCGGTGTGTGGCCAGCTGGCGCTGTGCCCAGGACTCTGTGGGTGGAGGTGGCCCACGTGTGCCACACACACAAGGGCTGTTCAGTGCTCTGCCAGCCCTGCCGGGCGCCGAGCTGCTGCCCTGCTAAACTGGGAACACTGCTAAAATTGTTGCTGGAGGGTGTGTGGGATGGCTTGTCCCAGTGTGGTGGCTGGTCCTGGGCTGCCGGCAGCGCTGGCAGCGCGGTAACGGGAGGCAGATGGTGTTTGGAGTGTGAGGCTCTGTGTTTGGATCCGCTTTTCCCACGTTAGTGCTGAGCTGGTGCCTGGCAGCTGGCAGCAGTGGGGTGTGTGTCCTGCTGGAACCACAGCCCTGGTGGTGTGCACGTGTCCCTCCCGAGGGCGTGGATGGCACCGGGGACTGGGGGGGGTTATTGCCCTCTGCAATCCTTCCGTGGCTCAGGGTGCTCAGCACCTGAGGGACTGATCTCCGTGATTGCTGCAGCTCTTTTTTTTCCCCTGTGGACCACTGTATTTTACCCTCCCAGGACCGGAGAGAGCTGTGGGTCTGGAGAGTATCACTTGGGGTCTGGGTTGCACCCTTGTGTTGAATCCCTCCTGTGCCTCTCACATCCCTCACCCTGGGATGGCTTGGCCAGGCAGAGGTGGCTCCTCTGAACATCCTCGCACACCCACGGCTGTGCAACCCGCGGGAGGTGGCAGGGGTGGCCTGGCCATGCCACCCTGGGGCCCCATCCATCCTGGTGGCCTTGGTGGGGCAGGATGAGCATCCCAGGACACCCTGTGTGTCCCTGCCCCTGTGCCGGGGTGTCGTGCGCGAGCTGTGCCACGAGGGGACAGCACGGTCCGCGCGTCCTCCCCGCCACCTCCTGCAACTCCCGTCCCCTGCCTTGGCCCTGGGCAGCCCTCGCAGGGCCGGGCTGGGCTGAGGGGGGTCTCATTTTCCCATGGCACTCGCCAGAAATCTTTGTCCCGCTTTGTGCTGGCGGCGGTTTCCCGGGGGCACCCCGAGCCCCGTGCCCGGGTGCACATCAGTCTGTCCGTCCGGGGACAGCAGAGCGGGGCCCTGAGCAGGGACAGCGTGGGGTGTCTTTGCCCCAAAGCCCCTTCGAATGGTGCCATTCGCTGCCAGTCCCAACCGCCCCGTCACGGGAATGTCCCCCCGGCCATGCCCGTGCCGGGCCGGCACCGGAGACGTGTGAGCACCAGTGGGTGCCCAGCCCTGTCCACGCAGGGGAGACACAGGGCAGCGCTGCTGTCCCCGCTCTGCTCCTCATCCCGCTCCGCCCCATCGCCGGCCCCGCTGCCTTCCCGGGATTCCTGCGCTCTATAAATAGCCCTCGTAAATCCTCGCCGCGATTATTTTTCCCCCGCCGTCTCTTGAAAAGGCCCCACTATCCGCCCTCCTCGGCGCTGATTTTTCCTCAGGTTTCCCCAGCAACGGCAGAGCCTCCCGGAGCAGCGGCGGGGCCGGCACGGCCCCCGCTCCCCCCCGCCCCACGCCGCATTTAAAGCCGCGGGGCAGAGCCCTCCCCTTTCCGCGCTGGCCGCTCCGCGCGCGATCGCGGCTCCGCGCGGGGGCTGCCCCTCCAGACATGCCCTTCTTCCGAGACCTCTCCAAGCCCCAGCCGCTCGAGTTCCACGCCGAGATGCTGCTGGCGGTGCAGAGACCCCACAACGGCAGCCTGCAGCGCCGGCACACCATGAAGGAGTAGGTGGAGGGCGCCGGGAGAGCGGGGAGAGGCTGCCCGAGAGTCCCCGCTGGGGTGCTGGGTGTCCCACCTTCCCCCCCGACCCTTCGGCCGCCTGCTAAGAGTTGCTTTTCCCTCTAGAGCCAAGGACATGAAGAACCGGCTGGGGATTTTTCGGCGGAGGAACGAGTCCCCCGGAGCCAACCCCTCCGGCAAGCTGGACAAAGTGCTCAAATCCCTCAAGTAGGTGCTGCGAGAGGGAGGATCGGGGGTTGTGGGGGTTGAAGACCATAGGTATAGGGGATCAGGGGCTGTGGGGATCAGAGACCGTGGGCATCGGGGATTAGGGGCTGTGGGGGTCAGGAGTTGTGGGAATCGGAGAACATGGGGATCAGGGATCAGCTGCCATGGGGATCGGGGCTGTGGGGATTGGGGCCATGGGGCTTTGGGGACAAGCTGCAGTCAGGGGCTCCTCACATCCTGGCAGGCTGGGTTCACCCCATTTGGGGAAGCTGTGAACAAACAGTTTTTGTATCTGGAGGAGCATTAAAAGTACTTTTTGGCTGAAAATGCCCCCAGGCGGGTGGGAGGTGCTGCCCGGGCAGTGGCACAGCAGCAGCTTGTGTTGGAAATGTACCTGGTGGCAGCAACCTCCCAGTTGCCTGTACTTGGAACTTTAACCAGCTGGAGGATGGTTTGAAAAACCACTTTGCTCTGGAGATGCTCCAGCAGCTGGAGATGAGCCCTCCCTACTCTTGCTCCTGGCAGCTTCTCCGGCTGCTTGAACAGGCAGCTGAAATTCCACTTTCCTGCAGCTCCTGGGCATCACCCGGAACTTTTCCAATTCTTGCTCAGACACTCCAAGTGGCACAGCTGCCTGCACAGACCTCCTTGTGTCTGATTTTCTTCCTGCCAGTCTGAAGGCAGGGGTTTCTGTCTGGCAGAGCTGCTGTGGTGCTGCCCGGTGCAGAGCCCTGGCAGTGCCGGTGCCAATGTGGGAGCCGGGGCCAGCCCCACCGGGGCACACAGCGTGGCTTTGTGCACTGGAAACGTTGAGCAGGAGCCCGATTTGGGAGCCAGGAGCAGCCCTGCTGGGCACACAGCCTGGCTTTAGCCACTGGAAAGGTTTAGCAGGCGGTGAAAGTGGCTCTCGCTGCTTTGCTTTGCCAACGCGCTGTCCCTCTCCCGCAGGCCCACTCCCGAGGAAGCACTCAAGTGGGGAGACTCCCTGGAGAAGCTGCTGCTGCACAAATGTAAGTGTATGTCCACCTCTTCCACTTGTGTTTACTGCCAGAGGAATATCCAGACACGTGCATGGATAAAGCTGGGATTTCCTTTGCTAATCCCTTCCGGTGTTTGGGGGTAGACCATGAAGAGAAATCAGGCTGTCCCTTGTCTGCACCCCTTCTGCTCCTGCCTGGCCCAGGGAGGGAGCTGGTGACAGGGGCCAAGGGGAACAGGTCACGGCTCAGCCCCCCAGTTTGGGGAGGAAGTGATCCATGTCTGTGCAGGGGAACTGTGGAACAGGAACTGCTTTAGACATCCCCTTCTCACATTTCACAGCTGGGGCACCCCAAATCATGGTCATGTGCTGCTCCCAGCCCATAGGGATGGCCAGGGGGTCCTGTCCCCATTGCTGTCCCCACTCCAGCCCAGCCTCCCTCTTGGCTCTCCATGAATGCTGGAGATGTGGATTCAGCACACGGATGGGTTGTGTTGCTGTGCTGGCCTGGCAATGCCATCACTGCCTGTTTGCATAGCGGGGGTTTTAGGGCACAGCGTGGGGAGGCGGTTTGGGCTGCAGCACTGCAGGGTTGCTGGGCTGAGGGTCTGGTGGGGCCATTCCCTGCCTGTGAGCCGTGAGTAGAGACGTGTCCCTGTCCCCACAGACGGGCTCGCTGCCTTCAGGGCCTTCCTGCGCACCGAGTTCAGCGAGGAGAACCTGGAGTTCTGGCTGGCCTGTGAGGAGTTCAAGAAGATCAAATCCCAGTCCAAGATGGTCTCCAAGGCCAAGAAGATCTTTGCCGAGTACATCGCCATCCAGTCCTGCAAGGAGGTGAGGGCTGGCTCCCACGCCGGCGCGGGGCTCCCTGGCACAGGGCTGCTCCAGGGCTGCTCTCCCTGCCTGGCAGCTGCTCATCAGCCCTGGTCTCTCTGCCCACAGGTCAACCTGGACTCCTACACCCGGGAGCACACCAAGGAGAACCTGCAGAACATCACCCGCAGCTGCTTCGACCTGGCGCAGAAGAGGATTTACGGGCTCATGGAGAAGGACTCGTACCCCCGCTTCCTGCGCTCTGACTTGTACCTGGACATAATTAACCAGAAGAAAGCCAGCTCCCCGCTGTAGACCCAAGGACTGTCTCGGGGCAGGCTGGGAGCTGTGTGTTTACATGGAATTGGGCAGTGAAGGCCTTCCTGGGAGCCGGTGGGAGCGTGTTTTCCTGCTGCCGCTCGTGCCCCCAAGCCATAATTCCTGCAGCGACGGACGTGGGGCAGCTGAAGGCACCGAGCCTGGGGCCAGGGGGACCGACACACCAAGCAGTCTGGTACTGCTCCATCGCGGGTACGACGCCTTCGGGGTGACACCAGTGTGGATTTTGGCCGGGAGGGGAGCTCCCCCAAGGCTACTGGGAAGCAGCGCCCCGGCTGGGAGCGTTCCTGGAGGGCGGCGAGTGACCCCCAACTGCCGAGGAGGAGTTTTGAGCAGGGCTCCGGCAAGGGGACGACAGCACCGCCACGACCACCCCATCCCCTGGATCAAAGCCTGGTGACCTGGCCAGCCCCAGGATGCTGCTGTGCTTCCCCCGTGCCACGGTGCCCCCCGGCTGCCCCGGCGCCTCCTTGGCTGGCTCGCGGAGCCGGGCCCTGCCCCTGCGCTGGGGGTGTGCAAACCACCCCCTCCCACCCCCACCCCTGGTTTATTTATTGACCTCCTCTAGCTGGACGTTACTGTGTGATAGGAAACCCCCGTGTCCCTTCCCCGTTCCCAGATGACAAGTGCAATATTCGTGTGTGTCGCGGCCGAGTTCTCCGGCGGAGTGGATGCCTTTTTTTTTTTTCTTTTTTTCTTTTTTTTTTTTTTCTTTTTTTTTGGGTGTGTACATTTTGTAAGTAGCAGGTTTTACCTGACAGACCATTCCCTGGCAGCAGGCCGCTGGGGGAGCCTGGTGTATATATCACGCCCTGACGACGGAGGGTTTGGTGATGGAGAAATGCAGACGCCTCTCCTGACTCTGGATAACAATACTGTGTTTTGGGAAGCAGGGGGGTTCCTGCTGGCCCTGGCAGAGAGGGGTGGACTGCCTGCCTCCCAGTTTACAGTGCAAAAGCATCTCTGCAGCTAGAAAAAAAAAAATTAAAAAATACATTGTCATGGTCATAGGTAAATAAAAGGAGAATATAATTTCTTGTAGCTGCTTTTTCTTTGTGGCATGTTTGTCAGCACTGGTGGAGCTTCAACCAGGAGCCTGAAATCCTATTACTGCATGGCTAAAGAAGGAAAAATCTGGTTCTATGAATTTCTGAGCTGCTTTTTTATGATGGACCAGCTGCCAGATGCTACTGAGGCCAGGCCTGGGTGTAGGAACACAGTTTTGCCCAAAATGAGACTGTTCCCAAGGGCTGTGGTCGCTGTTTAAACACAGCAGGGCAGGAACCTCTGACCACGGGAATGCCCAGACACACAAGTGACCTCCTGTAGCTCTGGGTCCCCCTGGGGACACACCAAAAGCAGCAACTAAAAGCCCAGCAGTGCTTTTCCAGGTCTGTGCATGGCTTGGCAGGGCTGCTCCTCCCCAGCAAGGGCAGCAGCCCAGGAGCTCTGGTGTGGGATGCAAATGTTTTTTAAAGGCTGTCCCTGGTGTGTTTGGTAGAACACCAATGTCCTGCACCACTCACCTGCTTGTGATCACTCAGGAATGTGCTTCTGGTGCCACAGGGCTGTGCTGAGCCCTGGGGTGGCTGGCACGGAGGTGCTGCTGGAGATGCCCAGGCTGCCCCAGCAATGCCACCTGGGTATCAGCTCTGCCCAGCAGATACCATCTCTTCTGGGGAACTGTCTATGTTTCCCCCCTTTAAACAGGCAGCAGCTGATGGCCAGGTGGGGGATCTGAGGCAGAGCTGAGGCTTTGGCTGGAGGCAGCAGGGTTGGTGGGATGCCTGTGAGGCTGCTGGGATCCAGTGCACCCTGGGTGCACCCTCCCAGCTGCCTCCTCCAAGCCAGACCCTCCTCTTTCTCCTGGCACTGCTGAGAGCCTTCATCTCCTCCATCCCAGCTTGGAAGGTTTCCCTTCAGATCTGGAGTCATCACAGATTTTCTTTCTCAATCCCCCCTGTGCAGCTCAGTACCTGCCGTTGCCTTCTCTCGGCCCTGAGTGCCAAGTCCTGTGGTGCTGGTGATTCCCAGGAGCATCCCAACCCCAAAACCATGCTGTGTTTCGAGCCTACAACCTGCCTTGCCCATGGGAATTATCCCAGCTCAGTCAGGCAGGCAGGGCTGGAGCTGCCCTGGGACATTTGGTGCAGGAATCTGGTGCTCGACTTTGATCCCTGCAGGGGACAGAGGAGGAGGAGCCTTGGGGACATGGGGTGACTCCCTGGAGCAGGTGGAAATAGCCCTGGGTGAGTGGCAGGAGGTGGGTTATTGGTGTAAGAGAATTTATTGCCGACCTGCCAGGGTGATGAATCACTGGGTAAACACCATCCCCATCCCCACGTGCAGGAGCCACTTGATTCCAGGGAAAGGCAGGGCTGGGCTGAGAGCTGCAAATGCCACGTGCTCGTCCCACATTTTCCTGGGATGGCCAGTGCCCTGTGCAGCAGGACAGGTCTCATCATGGACCTCGTGGTGACACCGAAGCACAGCCTTGTCCCCTCTGTGCTGCAGCAGAGCAGCTGTGCCAGCTGCTCCAAGACTTTGGGCCTCAGAGCGAAGGGTGTGGGGAACGTGGAGCAGCTGGGTGGGAACTGGATGGGGGAAGTGGGTTCATGGAGGGAGTTTGTTCTGAGGGACACTGGTTGGGATGGAGATGCAGCCCCGCTGCCTGAGCAGCAACTTGTGACATTTGTGCAGGGGATTAGCTTACAACACAAACAGAAGGGGGACAGAAATGTCCTTATTTAGCACAAAACAAGATGTCCAGGCCAAAATCCAATCATGCAGAGAGAAGAAAACATTGACTTGTCAATGCCCACGCCACTGAGTGATGGAAATAGGAATCAGGTATTCCTAATTCCTGGTATTCCTAAATCCTAACTCGAGGAACAACCTCCACCCAAGCAGAACTGCTGACAGCTGGAGGGATGTTCCCAGGGCAGCAACGCTGAAATCATGGGGGGGGTCACCTGGTTGGGGATGACCCTGGGGATGGAGAAGTGGCCATTACCTGCAGCCAAAGGTTGTGGGTGGCACAAAGGTGACAGTGGCAGGGTGACAGCCCACCCTGGGCTCATCCCAAGGCTCAGGGGTGTGCAGGCAGCTGCCTCTGGGCCATTGCTGCCATTTCCCAGTGTGGCCAAAGGCAATTTCCCAATGTGGAAACCAGTGCCTTCCAAAATAGGGGGCTCCTTATCTCAGCAGATAAAAAGGATTTATCTCAGGGCTAAAAATGAGCGGTTGCTGAGTTGCAAGTAGTCACAACTCGCTGTGTTTGTTGTGTGCAAACAGGGCAGAGTCCACCCCGGCGCGGGTGCTCTCCGGTCATTCCTGGGACAAAGCTCACCCAGCTCAAGGCAAAGCACCCCAGGGAGAGGATTTGTGTGGGAAAATGGGACTAATCACCAGAAAGGGCTGAATGCCTTGATAGGTTTAAAAAAAGGACCTGATCCTGTATGTGAAAAAGGTTAAGACTCCTGGGAAAAACATCCTGAGGTTTTAACAACCCGGTTCCCTCACACCCTCAGGGATGAGGAGGCTGGGATGAACCAAAAGCCCTTGGGGAGGCTGGTAAAAGTCTTACCTGTCCCAGGTGATGGTTTTGACCCTTCAGGTGTCCCTCAGCTCAGTATTTCATCAGCTTCCTAATGCAGCAGCCAGAGGTGGGTGCAGGGGTCACCTGTGACTTGCAAGAGCAAATGAAGTTCTGAAAATAGCAGCTGCATGAAAATCCAGCTCAAGCTGTTGACAGCCTCTTGGATGAAGATTTATAGGGAGAAGGCAATGAGAAGCATGGGTATTCCATGTTGGGATTGTGCTGTGAGGCCTGGCTGGGCAGGTGAGTGTTAGCAGAATCTGCATGGCTTCGTTGCAGAGCTGGCTGGAAGCCATGAGCATAAAGAAATGAAAAGACAAACTTTTTATGTCTGCAGAAATCCAATTTTACCTTTTGGACAGGTGTGCACCGTGCCCTGAGACGCCTCTGCAGTGCAGTCTCTTTCCTGGGCTTTTCCAAGGCACCCATCCTGGAGTATGAACTCACCCAAATAAACATAACTGTCTGCTGAGCAAAATAATTCCCTGGACCCCTGATTAGACAAATATTCTCAGAATAGCAACAAGGCTACTTTATAGCCATAGACTAAACATAACTCAGCAGGCAGATACTGAAACAGCCGACACAAGAATTCCCCTGCTCGGGGAAACAGCTGACCCGAGAGTTCCTTCACCCCTCTCAGAGCCACCAAGGCTTATCAGGAGCACTCTGAGCTCTAATTTGGGTGGCTGAGATGCTCAGGAGCTGCCTGGAGACTGGCCACGGGAACACCCAGTCGTCTGCCCGGCGGGGATGGAGGTCGGGGTTGGTTGGGTTTGTTTGGGGACTTTGGCTTCCCCCGGGTTTGATAAGGACCTGAGGGTGCAGAGATGTGTTTGAGGGCTCCTGGCCTTCCAGATGGTGACCCTGGTGACCCTCAGAAGAGCTGGATGGGGCAGGTGAGGGGGGGACCCAGCTTGGCAGTGCCAAGGGTTGCCATCCTGCCCAGGGGAGCTCCAGAGGGTGATTCCCTCCTGGTACACCCTGGGATTGAGGCTGTGAGGACAAGTGCCACCAACCTCGGCACTGCCGTTAGCAATGTCACTCCTGAACAATCCAAGGGAGAAAATAAAACGCTCCTGAAGTAAAAATAAACCCAGTCAGACTCAGAGGCCGCCTGTCAAGGACATAAAACCAGCTCGGCTGGGCCGGTGCCAGGACAGGAAGCGCAGGAGTCCCCTGGGTGCTGCTCACTCACTCGGGAAGCATTGTTATTGCTCATTTTCTGATTCCTCTCCACATTAGGTCATTTTTACTCAGCTCCTCCAGCTCACACGTTCCCCGGAGCCGGGGAAGGAAGGAGCAATAATGCCGACTGTGGGCCAGCCCCGGGGCCGGGGGGGGGGGCTGGACAAAAGGACACTGAAAAATCCCAATTTTCCTTGTTGCTGAGCAGCCCTGCAGGGCAGGGCTGGGACACAGGGAGGGGATGAGGGGGAGTGACCCACAGAGTGACCCACTGGCAGCATCCCCCACCCCCCCTGGATACCCCTGAGGTGTGTAGGGATGGATTCTCCCCTTGGAAAGATCCAGCCCCCCCCCCCCACCGTTTCCCTTGCCTTCATCCCTTGTCAGAGAGTAAGGAAGGGGAAGGTGGGGGAGAGGAAGAAGAGCCAAGCAAGGAGCAGGTGGGGGCTGCACACGGGGTGTTTGCACAGCAGCCATTTGCAAGTAATTTCTTGTCCCTTCCTGAACTAATGGGGCAATTATTTCAGGACACGTGTTTCTTTCTCATGGAAAGTTCCACCCGGCCCGTGCGTCAGCTCATCTGTGGAGCAACCCTGTTCTCCCCAGTGTGATCACAGCGTTTCTAGACAAAGACAAGGGGGAGAAACCTCCTGCTCCTGGGACTGGGGACAG